TAACCCCTCATAAATTTGGGGGAATATTTTTTAGAAATAATAACCTATAAAATAATGGGAACTATTATCATGGAAATAAGCTCCAGAGAGTTTAGCTTTCCCCATGCTTCTTACTAATATGAATATGAGAGCATCATAGCAGCTTAGCCAGGAGGAACCATTAGAGTTGGTGTTGGTCAGTGATGGTTTGCTTGCAAGGCACAGAGTTATCCAAAACTAATGCAAGAATAAAGTTGAATTAATCAAAGAAATTTATTGGAAGAGGCCCACAGTGTACAGGAAACAGAAAGTGGGAAGCCCAGGAGACCCAGATGGCTGCTATTTTATCCTTCGTGCTCTCCCATTAAAGATCATGGGGGTCGCACATTTTTTTTCTTCTTTCTTTTTTTTTTTTTTTTTTTTTTTGAGGCTGAGTTTCACTCTTGTTGCCCAGGTTGGAATGCAATGGCACAATCTCGGCTCACCTCAATCTCCGCCTCCACCGCAATTCTCCTGCCTCAACCTCCCGAGTAGCTGGGATTACAGGCTACCACGCCCGGCTAATTTTGTATTTTTAGTAGAGATGGGGTTTCTCCACCTTGGTCAAGCTGGTCTCGATCTCCCAACCTCAGGTGATCTGCCTGTCTCTGCCTCTCAAAGTGTTCGGATTACAGGCATGAGCCACTGTACTTTGGGAGGCAGAGGCAGGCAGATCACCTGAGGGGAGCCACTGCACCCAGCCCACATCTCTGTTTTTTTTAATATAGATCTGCTTTATTTTTTTTCTCTATTTCACTTTCCATGCCCATTTTAGCCACAGCTTCAAGTTGAAAATTAAGTTGTTTCAAGTCCTCCATAGACATTGACTAATAGATCCTCTGTCCCAGATCTAAATTTACAGTAGAGAGAATTTAGTTGGACCAGCTAATATCAGGTGGCTACTTCATGATCCAATCAGGAAAGACATTTCCAGGGGCAAGAATTTGATTGATCCAGCTAAGATCACGTGACTACTGCTTAGTCCAATCAGGAAAGACCAGGCTAGGAGTGGGTGGCCCTACACTTTATTGATAGTTCAGAGCAACCCTTGCACCTCCCTCACCTACACTCTTCCTCCTCCCCGATTCCCCTTTAAACTCAGCAGTTACTGTCCCAAACCCCTTCTGCACTCAAGGTGATGCGCCTCTTCCTTCTTCCTGTTCATCTGTTGCATATATCTTATATTTTGCCCCCCTATAGATCGTATGTTCTTGATGAGCTCAACAACTTTTATCCCTGGTGTACTTTTACCCCTGGTGCCTAGCACTGTGCTGAGTACAGAGATCCTATTCCAAAATGCTCTTTTGACTTTTTTTTTTTTCTGATATATCAGTTCATAGGGTATTTGGCACAAGTGTCAGCAATTTCCATTGTCTTTTCTCTGAACTAAATGATATCTCAGCAGCAAGCTGGCATCAGAGGGGAGACTACTGCGTGTGAGGAGATTGCTAACATGCAGTGATCATTTGCAGTGAGAATGTGAATAGCAGCAAAAAAAAAAAAGCTTACATTTGGAACTAAATAGCTATGTATAGGAAGGGGAGGGACATATAACCCTATATCTCTGATTTTTCTACTTATCTACCATCACGATGACCCTGAACAAGAAATAGAGATTTGATTTTGATTTTCTTCAAGGATTATTGCCTTCTGCAATGGAAAATGACAACTCATCAAATATATTGTTTCTGCCATGAGCTGCAAAGATGACCAAACAGCAGAGGTTGTAAATGTAGCCGTGTTGCTTAAAGTAATATTATTTCTTGGCCAGACTTGCTAAACTGAATATATCTTCTTTTTTTAAAAAAAAAAGAAAGAAAGAAAAAAGAAAAGAGAGAGTCAGGAATGAGGACATCATATCTTGCTAGTCTGTTGAGCACAGTAAGGAGGAAGCTCCTTCACTGAGGACCACATGAATTTGTCTAAATCTTGGTGAACTGGACAGTGATTTAGGCATAATTTTTCTGGTCAAATACTTGTAATTTATATCAAAGCCAGATCCCCATAACAGAAGCAGACTTTGTAAAAATATCTGGGAATACACCACTTTTGAGACTTGCATAGAAAAACTAACTGAAGGAGACAATTTGGCTGTTCTGGTCATGATATGGGCGTGTGATCTGAGCTGAGTTTCCTGTAGAACACCCAGTAATCTCCTTGAAGACACATCCCTTAAGAAACACAGGGTGAGCCGGGCATGGTGGCTCATGCCTGTAATCCCAACACTTTGGGAGGCCGAGGCGGGTGGATCACAAGGTCAAAAGATCGAGACCGTCCTGGTCAACATGGTGAAACCCCATCTCTAATAAAACTCAAAAAATTAGCTGGGCATGGTGGCATGTGCCTGTAATCCCAGCTACTCAGGAGGCTGAGGCAGGAGAATTGCCTGAACCCAGGAGGCAGAGGTTGCGGTGAGCCGAGATCGCGCCATTGCACTCCAGCCTGGGTAACAAGAGCGAAATTCCGTCTCAAAAAAAAAAAAAAAAAAAAGACAGGGTGGAAGGTACTGACTTAATCCCTGTTTTTCTCTGTGGGAAGATCCTGAGAGGCATATAGGAAGGTGTGATTGTCTGGGTAACACAGCGGTGCTGTTGAGAGGGGTCTTCTTTTACTTTTAGCAAGAATCTGCTCTTCCCATCCTCAAAGGGTACTGCTAGACTATCAGGCATACTTCAGGCATCCCGGAAAGAAATCTATAGCCCAAACCTGGAGGCAGGACTGGCTACAGAATTGTCAGGATACCTTGTTCAAAAATCATTAAGAAGGCCTGGTACAATGGCTCACACTTTGTAATCCTAAGACTTTGGGAGGCCAAGGCGGGTGGATCACTTGAAGTCAGGAGTTTGAGACCAGCCTGGTCAACATGGTGAAACCCCATCTCTACTAAAAATATAAAAATTAGCCGGGAGTGGTGGCAGGTGCCTGTAGTCTGAGCTACTCAGGAGGCTGAGGCAGAATTGCTTGAACTCAGGAGGCAGAGGTTGCAGTGAGCCAAGAGCACATCACTGCACTCCAGCCTGGGTGACAGAGGTAGACTCCATCTCAAAAACAATAATAATAATAATTAAGAATTCAGAACAGCCACAGCAGAGCATGAAACCAAGTACAACCCCTTTTAAGCATCGTACACTGCATGACTGCACAGGTCATAGCCCCAGGAAGCTGGTCTTACCTTGGGAGATGAGTGCTTTGGTGCTTAACTTCAGAATGCATCTGCAGCCTCCGGAAGATTTAAAGGAAATTAAACATGCAAACAAACCAAAAAAACTCAGCTCTTGGGATATAGGGAATGCCTGTGTCCCATGCCAGCCTTTTAGCACCTGAGACATCAGATTAATTGATTACTCATCTGCCTGATTGATTCAGGTCTGTTTGCCTCCCAGAAGGTGTCTGGAATTGTGACATGAAAGTCAGGGGTGGAGGATGCGAAGGTTGAGATAATGCATTCATTTGGCCTAATCTCCTAGTTCTACTGCTGTCTTTCTCTGCCTTTCCACACATATAATCTTCAATCTCCACACAGCCTGAGTGATCTTCAAAACCATGTTTCAGATCCTGCCTCCGTTTCCCTCCCCTGTCCCTCTGTCTCATTACCTTAGAATCAAATTGAGAATTCCCACTATGACTCCAAGACCGTGTGCCATTTGGTCTCTGCCTGAACAGGTTTCCAGTGCATACCACTTCGTTCTACCCAGAGGACTTTGCACAGGCTGTTCCCTGCACCTGGAACGTCTTTCTTTCTCTTCACACCTACCCGCTGGGTTACCCCACCCCCAAACCCCCAGCTTTTCTTTTCCTTGAGATCAAAGTTTATGTACTTTTGACTTTCCACACACATATACCCACCCTCTTCACCTCTGATCCAGGTTGCATACTGTTACTGCGCCTCTAATTTGTCTTTCATGTCTATTCCCCTTCTAGATTGTAAGCACCATGACGGCAGGAGTTGTGTCAGTTTTACCTCATTCTATTCCCTGTGCCTAGTGTAGTGCCTGGAAGACAGTAGGTGCCCAACAGGTGTTTGGCAAAACATAAATGGATGACACACAGTTCGTAGTTTACACTTAATTATAAACTATCTTTTAAATTTAATAATTTCTTCACACAGATGTAATCAATACATTTTGTTTAACATGTGTCTTTTGTATGTATTATTTTTCTTTACAATATTTTGTAATTTCTTGGACTTTATTAATTTCACCAATTAGTCTAGAAACTTTCACATCAGCCAACATATTTTCTGCATTTCCGAATCTCCCACAGTGTCCAACCCGTTCAAGGAATATTACTGACTAATAGATTTTGGGCATTTTACACATTCAGTCCCTGCCATTACAGGATACATAGCTAAGAGAGAAATTCAATTATATGTTTTGTGTAGATTTAAGTTATTATAGATACTTTCTGCTGATTGGCAAGGTAAGTCATAACAAAAGGTAGACATAATCTTACTTACGGGATTTCTGCCTCAAATCAAAATTCAATTGTGATATAACTATCTCCTTCGTACCCAGGCCGGATGGTTCAGGCCTGTAATCCCAGCACTTTGGGAGGCAGAGGCAGGCAGATCACCTGAGGTTAGGAGTTCAAGACCAGCCTAGCCAAGGTGGTGAAACCCCATCTCTACTAAAAAAATAAAAGTTAGCTTGGCGTGGTGGCACACAACTGTAATCCCAGCTACTCGGGAAGCTGAGGCAGGAGAATCACTTGAACCTGGGAGGCAGAGGTTGCAGTGAGTCAAATCACAACACTGCACTCCAGCCTGGAGGACAGAGTAAGACTCTGTCTTAATTAATTAATTAAATAGGAAAACTTAAGGACAATACTATTTTTGCAGGGTAATTTTCATAACCAATGCTTTGACCCACAGGGTCTTTTCCCCCAGCCATGTTATTTTTCCAGATTAATAAAGGGCATTGGACATATTTTAACAAAATTAGTAATAGTCTATTTTCCCACTTTCTTTAAAATATCTTTTGCAGACAAGGAGCCCCAAACTGTCCCACAGTCCTCAACCACCTAGTCTGGGTGACCCGGTCGAGCATTTATCAGAGACATCTGCTGATTCTTTGGAAGCCATGTCTGAGGGGGACACTCCGACCCCTTTTTCCAGGGGCAGCCGGACTCGCGCCAGCCTTCCCGTGGTGAGGTCAACCAACCAGACGAAAGAACGATCTCTGGGTAAGCTTTCGAAAGCAGTTTCTGATGCCCCTTTCTTACTGAATGTGTGTCTTGTTATACTTCTGAGCCTACACCCTTGATTTCAACATGAATTTGCTCTTGATTTGCAAATATCCTAGTTCTGGGAAACGTCATTGGTTTAGTATCAAGCAGTGAGGATTTGCCTGCTGGGTAATCAGGTCAAGTGCAAGCTGGCTTTGAGGCTGGGCACATTCAGAGGTGGTTGGCATTAGCAATTCAAGACAAGAGACTGGTAGTATTTTGCCTATATTCCTCCTGCTATACAGCAGGAGTCCCCAGTCCCCAGGCCATGGACCTGTATCAGTCGGTGGACTGTTAGGAACTGGATTGCACAGCAGGAGGTGAGCGGAGGGTGAGCAAGCATTATCGCCTAAGCTCTGCCTCCTGTCAGATCAGCGGGGGCATCAGCTTCTCAGAAGAGCTGAACTCTTTCATGAACTGCATGTGTGAGGGATCTAGGTTGCATGCTCCTTACAAGAATCTAACGAATGCCTGATAATTCGAGATGGAACAGTTTCATCCTGAAACCATCCCCCTACCTGCCATCTGTGGAAAAACTGTCTTTCACAAAACTGGTCCCTGGTGCCAAAAAAGTTGGGGACCACTGCTCTATAGGAAACAGCAAAGAACTGGCTGCAGAATGACCCTCTTCTCACCTTCCAAACCTCCTCTCCCATCCCAGAAGCCAGGGCAGTTGGCATTTCTACCCAGTGATGTGGGTTTCCACCAGCCCCGCTCCACCTGTCTGCCAGTCCAGTGGTGGAGATAAAGTGGCCCCAGGACAAAAAGGGACAATGTGGCCAACACCTCCATAACTGTTCATAAGAACCACAAACCCGAGGCTGTTCCCACTACCGCGTGAAAGGATAGAGGGGCTTGGTTTGTGGAGTACACAGCTTTTCTGAAAGGCAAAAGGATTCTTTTTATGCTTTTTCCATATACCATTCCCTGTTTTTGTATGAAATTTCACTTTCTATCTTGCTTTACTTTTTTAATTTCTTTTTTTTTTTGGCCCTTTAATGAAATGGACAAGTCATGAGGATTTAGACCTCTGTGTCAACTGGGCAGATATTGCTTATGCTTCACTGCCATGTTAAGGTTCTGATTTGGGTACTTGTGTTTGTAGACAGATGGGCTTGGGGCTAAGAGGGGACAGGAGAAGGGTCAACATGCAAAAGCCTTCAGAGTCTGGCACGTGCAAGAGACAGCTGAACTCTGCCATGTAAAACTGAGCAAATGTCTTATTGAAAGAAGAAAGAAGATAGCTGCGAGAGAAGGGACCTGATTCTATTTCCTTCGCTGCAGATGATGACCCACACAGACTGGATTCAGACATTGTCCTAGCTGTCCTAAACAGAAACCACAACTTTCTTATTATTTGTGTTATCAATGTTAATAGCTAACATTACATTTTGTATACTTGACCTTAGGTTAGTAATCTAGAATCCTCATTTTATAAATGAGAGAAGATCACAGACAATGTGCTTTTTGTTGATGTGGTGTGGTTGCTTGTTCGAGCTCACACAGTTAATTAAATGGCAGCAGTGGGAAGTCCAGGGCTCCACTTCCCATTAACATCATCTTACTAATGAAGGCACAAGGACACGCAGGGAAGGGACACACCAAGGAGCACTGTGGGCCAAGGTAGCGTCAAGATGACACAGCCTTCCACACCATCACCAGGCTGGGGCTTTCTATCTGGATTCAAGAAATTTGTGGTTTCTTTTCTTTTTGAGACAGAGTTTTGCTCTGTCACCCAGGCTGGAGTGTAGTGGCGTGATCACGACTTACGACAGCCTCGACTTCCCAGGTTCAAGGGATCCTCCCACCTCAGCCTTCCGAGTAGGATGGGATTACAAACATGTACCCCAATGCCTAGCTAATTTTTTACTTTTTGTAGAGATGGTTCTCACTATGTTGCCCAGGCCGGTCTGGAACTCCTGGACTCAAGTAATCCTCCCACCTTGACCTCACAAAATGCTGGGATTATAGGTGTGAGCCAGCATGCCTGGCCTGAAACTTGTGTTTTCTTAACTCCACTCACACTGAGTCAGGAGCCAGACAAGGAGTGGGATTTCTCCTTTGTGCTTTGGAGGAAATGAGTGAAGCTCCGGTCTCTGTAAAGATAACCTCTGCCCTGCAAACCAAAACAAAGATAAGAATAAATGCCTACCCGCCTTTCCCCATACCTGGGGAACTTTGATTCTGTTGGATAATGGATCTTTTGTCTTAAAGGCAGGAATTTCCTTTGCAGCCAAGAACAGTTGGCAGTGCAGGTTGAGACTTGCTGGGTTCAGGAACCAAGCCTTGGGGCAGAGAGGCTGCAGGAACTGGGGCCGGCTTGCCTGAAGAATGGCTGAGGGTGGCAGTGTTTTCGCATGGGGGAGGCCGTCTTCTGCAAATTGCCCCCGTTTTCCTCGGCATCCTTCTCTGTAGAGTGCCGGTGTGCTGTCACAGCAGGCTGAGAAATGCATCTCACCTGTTTATTCTGCCCTCCCTGTGAGGGGCTTTTGGGCTTGTAATTTTTCACTACTCCTGGATAGAAACAAAGGAACACGGTAAGAGGAGAGGAGAGAAATGAGAAGTTTCTTGCCAAAGTGAAGGGAAGCTCTGGTTCCAGAAAATGAGGCTGGCCCTGGGCCAGCTGGGCTGATGTTGCCCTTGACCGCCCCTTTGTGGCCGACTGGGGAATGTCCCTCCAGCCGCACCTGGCCCTGATGGCGTAATCCAGTTGAGCCTGGATGGGAAATAAAGAGGAAAATGTGAGTCACAGCAAGTGCAGATACAGTCTCCCTCCCAACGGCCTTGCTCAGCATTAGTCTTTGGGAAATTCCCGCCTGCCTGGCCTTATTTAACACACAAACGCACTGGCTCCTGGGATAAACAGTGTTCCCCAGAGAGCCCCGGCCATGTGCTGGGGTGTCTCCCAGCACCTGGGTGGCCCAGAAGCACAGCTGCAACTCCATGGGACCTCAGAGATGCAGACTGGATGCTTTGAGCTGTGACCCCCCTGAAAACTTGCTGTTGATGCCATCTGGAAGCCCTGGATGTCTTTTGGGATCTGTACATTGTCACTGTATCTCAGTCCACAGCGTTTAAGTTCTCCCGTGAAGTCGTGTTGATCTTGCCTTTATTTAAAATGTTGATGGTTCGTTCATCATGGGGTTTTTTAAATTTTTTTTTTTTTTTTTTTTTGAGACGGAGTGTCGCTCTTGTTACCCAGGCTGCAGGGCAATGGCGCGATCTCGGCTCACCACAACCTTCCACCTCCTGGGTTCAGGCAATTCTCCTGCCCCAGCCTCCTGAGTAGCTGGGATTACAGGCACACGCCACCATGCCCAGCTAATTTTCTGTATTTTTAGTAGAGATAGGGTTTTAGCATGTTGACCAGGATGGTCTCGATCTCTTGACCTCATGATCCACCCGTCTCAGCCTCCCAAAGTGCTGGGATTACAGGCGTAAGCCACCACGCCCGGCCTCATTTTATTTCTTAAGAGCAAGTTTTTAGGTTTGTAACAAGATTGAGCAGAAAGTACAGACAGTTCGCACACACCTTGGCCTCCAGGCATGCACAGCCTCCTCCATGATCAGCATCCCCCACTAGAGTGGTACATGTGTTACCATCAATGAAATGAGACCGACATATTGATATTACCCAGAGTCCATAGTTTACACTGGGGTTCACCCTTGGTGTTGTACATTCTATGGATTTGGACAAAGGTCAGGATGTGTAGCCACCGTTATGGTATTATACAGAATGGTTTCACTTGCCCTAAAAATCCTCCATGCTCCGCTTGTTCATCTCTTCCTCCTGGCTGACCACTCGCCAGCCACTCATCTTTTCACTGTCTCCATAGTTTTGCCTTTTACAGAATGTCTTATAGTTGGAATCCCACAGCATGTAGCCTTTTCAGATTGACTTCTTTCACTTAACAATATGCATTTACATTTTCTCCTTATCTTTTTATGGTTGGATAGCTCATTTCTTTTTCACACCTCAATTATCTGAGGGTTTTATTGCATTCTCTTGTATTGTGTTTTGAGACAGGGTCTCCTTCTGTCACCCAGGCTGGAGCACAGCGGTGCAGTCACAACTCACTGCAGCCGCAATTTCAAGCATAGGTGATTCTCCCACCTCAGCTTCCTGAATAGCTGGGACTACAGACATGCACCACCATGCCTGGCTAATTTTTTGTACCTACGGGGTTTGGTCTTATGCCCAGGTTAGTTTCAAACTCCTGGGCTCAAGCAGTCTGCCCACCTCAGCCTCCCAAAGTGCTGGGATTACAGGTGCGAGCTACCACACCCAGACTGAATAATATTCTATAGTCCGGATTTACTACAGTTTATTTGTCTGTTCACCTTCTGAAGGATATTGTAGTTGCTTCCAAGTCTTGGCAGTTATAAATAATGCTCTGTAAACATTCACATACAGGTAGTTGTGTGAACATACGTTGCAGCTCCTCTGGGTAGATACCAAGGAACATGATTGCTGGATTACATGGGAAGTCTCTGTTTTGTTTTGTCATGGATTATTGCATTAATTTTGATTTTTTTTTTTAATATTGCACAAAAACTTTATCATGATCACTGAGCTTTTGGGAGACCCTCAAATTTTGCACTGAAAGTATGTGCCTTGCTGACCTCACCCCAGTGCCAGCCCCTCATGTCATTCCAGGAGTGTTAGATACTGTTACTGCCGGCCCCCAACCACAGAGCCTGGAGTAAGGAGAGTGAGGAAAGCCCAGTTCCCCCGGCCTGTACTCTACATGGTGCCACCATTTGTCAGTGGAGTCCTTCCCCAGCTCAGGCAGCACAGAAAGGTGAGGCCTGGACACCTTGAGGGTGGAGCCAGGACAAGATGGAATCCTCACACCACTCCGGCTCCTGAGGTGAGAGGAAATCTTCCCTCACTTCAGGCTGCCTGTGCCTGGAGATAAACCTGCCTGCCTCTTAGTTTCTCCACTCGAATAATTCCT